TATAAGTGTTACTAAATGCTCTTTCTGCAGAGTTATCTTTGACATGTAATGTGGATATATGTTTCTTGTTGATACATTTAATACTCGCATACATATAATACTTTTCCGCAAATGTTTGTACTTGTCCACAAATATTAAATATTAAATATTAATTTATATTTGAAAGAAGTTGAATATTCTGCCCATTATCAAACAGTAAGCTGAAAATGGCGGCTTCCGATGTGTGTGAATCCATTTCTTTCTCTTAAGTCTTTTCTCTTATGTCTTGAATTTTATAGCGTTATTACAATGTTACCGACAATCAGTCATGTTAAGATTACTTCAATTATTCTTGATCGAGGGTTTATCATCTGCTGTTATTTTGCAATATCGACTTGTTAGTACCGGATCCACAATGAATTTAATCAGAAGATTATTAGATTTTTTTTAGGTATGTATATTGATGTGTGGCTATAGAAACATAATTTCTAAATTGAAGATATAAAAAAAACAACTGAAATTTGTAACAGTAAAGGTAAATTATAATGCGCGAAAAGATTAATTATTTAGTATTTTATATTATTAAACATATCTGTATAAGATAATATAAATGTAACATAACTCATATATGTATATAATTATATTAAATGTGGGAAAAAGTTCGTGACGTTTTTTTAAACGTGACGTTTTGCCATCTAACGGGAAAAACGTCACGAACTTATTCCCACACCTAATATTATAGTGTTAATTGTTGAATAAAAATTTTAACTAATTAGGGATGCATTAAATATATCTTATTTTAATTAATTAAGATTAGATTAATTAGAGCTAGATTGCATCAGATATCCGAAAAAAAAATCGGAATCTGGTGTTATCCGGTATTTTTTTTACTATCCGCTCAGATAGCCGAATATCATTAGTATCCGACAATATACAATATATATGTATATCCAGCTGAAATTTTATATTGAAAGTTTGCATCATTGATCAAAATTCTATTTTTTTCAGCTGAACTTTTTGCCTATCTGATCTTTTTTCTTTTTCTTTTTATACGTTGAGAAGATAAAAAAAAATTATTTTTGTCTTATTTTTCTCTTTTTTTTAGAATTTTGAGAAATTTGTACCAGATATTCGAAAAATATCCGGATAATTATTGCTCTACTGGATATTCGATACCCGATATCCAATAATTTTACGATCCGCATGCCTAGGATAATCTTTCTCTTTCTGTGCTATTCTGAATAGTGTATACAATAATTTTAGTATTTACCTACTATTTTTATGTCATTATGTCCGATATGTATTAGTTTGTAATAAAATTTCCATTACATAATGTAACAGTAACTGTAAAAATAAATATATAACTGTAAAATAAATATATAAATACGTAAATATGTTCGTATAAACATATTTTTTATAATCGAAAAATTGCTACGATTAATTATGTGTTTTTTTTTTATTTTAATACATAAAATAGAAGTAAAAAAATTATCAATTTTTTTGTAGCATATATTTCTGCAATTTTTACACAGCACATTCTGCAATTTTTACACATTATGTAAAATATCCTCATTTTTTAATATTTTCTAAAATCAATAAGTATCTACAATATATAGATATTAGAGGATTATATAATAAAAAATATAGTTTTATTATAATTATTAAATTTATAAGAACATAAGACAAACAGTATCCCGCAAAATACAAACTAACAATTGACATTTTTTATTCGATAATACAAATGTAACATGACACATTAATATACGTATATAATTATTAATATAAGTATTAATTGTTAAATAAAACTGTATAAATAGAATGTTCTTGATTATTTCGAAATTTTGCCACGGATCTTTCAATAATATTTTTATATTTGAAAAAAAAAGAATATCTAAAAAAATAGTACAGTTTTTAAGATATACATTTTAAGTATTATTACAATAGTATTATTGCACAGTTTTTAAAATATAAGGGAAAGTGGAATAAATCGGACTTATTTGCAATTTTTGCTCTCTATAAGGCGTAAATAAAATCCAATCGTAAAATCGAAGGTACCATTGGAAAGATTTAATTTTCCTTCATTTTTGCTTCATTCATCATTTTGACATATTATTGACATATTCAGATCATTTTGATATATTTTTCATCTGTCTTGGATTATAATGGAAAATATAAAAACATTTTTTTCAATCCGATTTGAAACTATTGGTTCCAAATCGGATCATCCTCTGGTTCAAATTGGACACTTCTATTTTTATAGATTTTTAGATAAAATTTTAAAATATTTTAATGTATTTTTGTTAGTATTGAGTAAATACGAGCAATTTGACAGTCGAAGATAAAAATTTTATTCAGAAAAAAATTACTGACAGTTTATATTTTATTAGAATTGAAATCAATAAAACTCAATTTAATTTGAATTTGATGACTCATGATATCTTGCCGATTTAATTTCTTGGACCAGATTTGATCGGCCGATCACCAGTACTACAACCAATCCTATAAATTATCTACTATACTAGGTTTGATTTGAACAACCAAAAAGAGATCCGATTTGGATACGGGTTCCTTTCGAATTTTGAAATAAATTTTACAATAAACCGCAAAAGTGATCACAAAATTTAATTATTTTGTAACACTTGATATTTTTGAATTTTATTTTATTTTATACTTTTTAATTATCTTAAATCAATTATTTTCTAAATTTTTAATATCTTTAATATCTTTTAAATAATGATTTACAAGGATTTTCTTTTTAAAAAAATTTTTGTACAACGGCTGAAAAAAACGACTATATATTTGCGTCTATTCTATGAATGTTTATGACAGAGAATTATCAAATTGCCATCACATTCGATATCTTATAAGGACTTAATAAATAGCACGCAAATCTGCTTAACTGTATTTAAATTAAAAAGGTCCTATTTGGAACATGATCCAATTTAGGCCACTCCCCCCTAAATTTTAAGTATTATTACTATCATTTAGATATATAATTAGGTAAATGTTAATTAAGTAAAATACAATTCTCAGTTAATTATATAAATTCATGAAAAAATTGTTTCTAGAGCAAATGCGTCACTTCGGTTAATAACGTGAAAAATGTTTCATATCTTTTTTATGAATAAATATTATACATTTATAACTTATAATAATTAGTAAATAAGATTATCCTTTGCTGAGATCATCTCTTTCGTAATATTTTCAATGAAATGCGACTTAAAAATTATTTTTATAATAAAAATTTCAGTCAAAAACAATATAGAATAATATATATATATA